AATTCATAAGTTAAAAATAGGATTTAGCATTTGTTGAATGCTTATATTGTCCTAGATGTCATCTTAAACCTGTAAGTGTGTTAAAACTCATTTAATCATTTAATGACAGCTCTGTAAGGTAGATATATTATTACTCCCATAATAGGAAAACTGAGGCACAGAAATGTTGAATAACTTGCTCAAGTTTACTCAGTTAGTAAGTGGTGACATTGGCATTTCAACAAGGCAGTCAGGCTCCAGAACTTTTTCTTATTTTCTACTCAGGTACTTTCCCCCACCCCCTTATTCTCATGTGCACACTCCTAAGCACCATATTTTATACTTGACGTTCTTCAATAACATATGTTATCAAAAGATCTATGGATAGTGGTTGTATTCAGAATTTTAAGTAAATCTAATACATGGAAATCAAGGAAAAATCCACTAAGCCAAGGTTCTAGCCTCTTAATTAAAGAAACTGACTTTGAAAATGGGATCAGCAAATTACACATCACTGATGTTAAAATAATTCATACCCCTCAGCCAATTACATAACAAAATTTATTCCTCCCAAACAAGTCCCTTCCCTTTCATAATAATTGTTTTCTTGATTTAGAGAGTGGTTACATGAGGAAGTAAGAAGGGAGACTGGTAAAGGAGCAGAATAGAGATTAAGACTAAATAACACTATAGCTATCTAAAACCCAACCTTTTCCATCTGGACCTTTTTTTTGAACCCCCAAATGCAACCTGTCCTCCAGGAGCAGTCCCATGAATTTGATTTATTATCAAGTTTGCCTCTTGAGGAAGTACTGTAATTGGGTAAAATGAAAGTCAAGCATCGCGTACAAATTATTTTCTGAGAATCAATAAATTCTCATTGACCTTTCCCCACAATCCACATTTCTTACTGTGCAAGAATTTCAATTCTATGAAGTTTGACCTCGGGGTTTGGGGATATTGCAACCTACTAAAGTCTCTTGCTGGCCAGAGGCATAAGTGAATCCTATGATAGGAAGTGAAGGACAGAGCACCTGGAGATGGGTGGGAAAGGCACTCAGGATGGCAGAGAGGAGGAATTTTATAATCTAGAAGATTCAAGAAGGTTCAATAAGGCATTATCATTGATGCTAATATGTTATAAGGTTAAGATATTCTCCCTAAGAGTTCAGAAAACATCCCCTACTATTATGATTATGGACATCTGTCTATGTTTACATCAGGCCTAGCTCAAGTTGGAAAATGTCAAGGGAAAGATGCACAATAAAACTTGGTTATATTTCATTTTACTTTCATCAAATGTGATTGGACCAAAACGCCATGCTGCTTCTTGTATTACAAGATTCACTGCTACTGGGAGCACAAATCCAACAGAGATAGAATACCTTATTGTCATTCACTCTGAAAACACATTCGATAGGGTGCATATTATTTGATAAAATTCCTAATGTGAAAAGGTTAGAGGTCTGACAAAACTTTGATTTGCTCCAACATGAAACCACTTAAGATTGCTGATCACACAGCCAAACAAAAGAGGCCGTACACAACTGGAGAGATCTTAATGAAGCCAAAGTTCTGGAAATGGTTAGAGTGTTGCATGGCTTGGAGCAGAGGAAGAAAACTAAAATGGTGTCTGCTTAACTGCTGAAAATAAATCCATAATATCATTTATCTTAATATTTTGAGGCAAATTACAAAGAATTGGTAGCTATTTCTTTTACCTCTGAATACAACTATTTGACAACTTTTAGTCCAGTTTCTGGTTTTCATGTGATTCTTTCATTTGCTCATCAGCTATGTTGGCAACTATATTCCAATTACTCTTCTAGGTGCAGGGAATGCAGATTAATAAGTTAGTTCCCTGCTTTCTTGGGGCTTTCATTTTTGGAATGGGGAGACAGCGATAAGTGAGAGATTATCAGATGATAAAAGCCATGAGCAAAATACACGTGAAAGAGAGCAAATAGAATGATAACCTTAGACTGAGTGGACAGAAAAGGTCTAAGTCATCAAAGAGACAGCCATGTGAAATTCTGGATAAAGAGTGTTCCAGTAAACTGACATCATCATAGGAGATCTCCAAGTCTTGAGCTCCTTTTGGAAATTGCAAGAGTCATCAATAGTTTTGAAAAATTTCTTTACCAAACAGAACTTCAAAAGCATAGGATATCTTATTCCTGAAAGCCTAGATGGAGAAGACGTTACACTTAACAATGTATCTCACTGTGATGCTTTGGTGGAAAAAAAAAAAGATTATTATTATTTAATGTTTTCATCAGTGGCATAAAAATGCCAAAGACTATTCCAGCAATTCTGAAAGAAGTCATATCTACTTCCATGAAATGCTATCAACTTCATCTGGACTAGGGCTTTAAACCATGACCTTTTACAAGAGGCCTTACTAAGCAGTAGGAGCAGAATAAAAAGCTTTTCTATACAACACAGATCCCTGGTATTCTAGAAGCCATGCCTTGAAGCACTTGTTTGATATTTAAACCAATGATTCATTGAAAAAAAATGAATAATTACACTTAGAATAATTAGACATAAGCTCATTCATGGCTTGTTTGATGGCCAGTAGATATTGGGGCTTATGTGAATGTGAGAAATCTTTCCATTAAAGGCAGTCACCAGGAGGAAAGCTGATAGAACATGAGCAGTTTTCCAGGCAGTGCAGTCTGAATGTAATCTCTTTAGCTGTTCTAGACTAGAAGTTTAACAGCAGACAATCACATAACTTTGCGAAACTGAAGGAAGTACTTTGGCAAGACCTAGAGGAATGTGGCAAAGCAATAGCAGTTACTCCAAAAGTCTGTAAACACCATTTGAAGACTCAGAAAACCTTAAAAGTGAACATACTAATCTACACTCTATAAGCAGCATTAATAATGTAGATCTCAATTAATTAATAATTGTAGATCTCACAAACAAGGTGACTTACCAAAGTGCCTAACCTTGCCTAGCAAAACATTCTACTGGTTACTGCTTATCTTTGTGAATTAGGGATTTGGGGCATGGTTGCCTCAAAAAAAAAAAAAAAAAAAGAGATGAATTAATTGAGTTAACCTTGTCTTCCCTCTAGAAGAAAAAAAAAAAAAAAAAAAGAGATGAATTAATTGAGTTAACCTTGTCTTCCCTCTAGAAGGCAGAATATGTGGGAGTGAAGAGAAAGAAACTAAAGTCAGAATAATCTAGATTTAAATCCAGACCCAACACTCTCTAGCTAAGTAAGTAAGCTTGACATTTTCAGAGCCTGAGTTTCCCCATCAGTATCATGGATATAATAATAACTGCCTCAAAGGTAGTTGTTTGGATTAAATGAGATAAGCATAAATCATAAACTTGTCAAATCATTTGTACACCTGAAGCTAATGTAATAATGTAACATTGTATGTCAACTGCATTTGATTAAAACATTTTTTTAAGAAAAATTCAGAGCGAGGACACATTTGTCTCTTTTTTTTGAGGAGCTGGTATGCTTTTACTGTTGAACAAGGGTTTTTTGTTGCCTATTATGCTTCATTTGGGGTCTTAGCCCTCAGGAAGTTCAGGGATATGTCTCAGGGACTATGTTTTGTATTTATTTTTAGCAACTCCCTCTTTTCTTCCTTATAATGTTTTATACTTTGGTCCTCATTTTAATGGTTCTATTGTGCCTGTGTCCTTTATAACTCACCACAAATTTCCCTTTTAAAGTAGATGTCATGTAATGGAAAGAAGGAAAAGAGGGAGGGAGGAAGGAAAGAACGATACCTTAAAAGTACACTCTTTAAATAAAGTCTTATAAATTTAGCAGCCTTAATAGGGTGAAGCCTATAGTTCATAATTTTTCTAACTTTAAACAAAACTTAAACCAACAAATAAATAAACAAAACAAATAAAAACACATTTTTCTCAAATTTAAATTCTATTGTTTTTGTTCTGGCAAATTTTCTCATGCTGATTATCCAAATCCTGTTAGTTCCATGTTTTCTAGATAATGTTCTGAAGGGTGGGGAGGAGGGGAGGGCTATCAGACCCCTTCTCAGCTACCACTCCATCAACAGCTAATATATTTGATTTCTTTTGTTCCCAACAGTGGATCTTTGCAGCCATGCATTGTGCTTCTGCCGGTTCCCCAAACCTTCTATCCTCCTCAGTTAACTATCTTCTCAGAGGGCAGATCACCCCTCCTGCTGCTCTTTTGACTGGTTTTATTTACACTTATTTACTCAGTTTTATTAGAAGCTTTCTCTGTTTGTTACAAAAGGGAATACTCAGCACATCCAGCTTTGAATCCCTTTATGGAGAACGTCTGGCAGCCCAAGGGAACCAGTGCTGGTGTTATAGAAAGTCTTTGTTGTGAGTTTGCGGGGGGGGGGGGTCCTCTAACATCATTGTTTTACACACCATTGCTCCCCCTCCCACCTTCCAGTGTCAGCTCTAGCACACAGCAGTTTACTAACAAACATTTGCTGAACAACCAGAAAAATCATCTTCTAGGTAATCTTCATTTTTGAGTAGTTAACACTTGGAAAGTGAGAACTTTGTGCACAAACCATATGATTTTATTTACAATCCTAGTGAGAACATCCCTAGACTTTTTTCTTGAGATGAAATTCCATTCTGCACATGTTTGATTATGTGCATATGTATGTGTGTGTCCATACTGAGTTATCTTTTGTGGATTTAGCTAAACAGACCCAAACATGTGTTAGTAATGATTTTAATTAAGCTGTTACCCAGTCAGGAGTTAAAAAGAGCAAGAAGAGGCTAATCAAACTAGGTAATTCATCACCATGCCCACTCACACTCACATATTCAGATTCATGTGTGTGCAACCATATGCTAGCCATCGACTGACCCTTGCCTGTTGCATTTCACACATGACACCTTGGTGGGCAACCTAAGCCCAGACATGGCTATTTGCAGTACTGGTGTGTTAGGTGTCAGGGACAGAGGCTCAATACCTTCTCCTGATTTGAGTTAAACATAGAAAGTTAAAAGATAAACATAACATAGTTAACCATAAACAATATTACCTCTCTGGATCTTAAGCACAGTCATCCAGATGCCCAGTCCCAAAACGATGGTCGTCAGCAGTCCACACACAACGGCTGTCAGCACCCTGAGGTCACACGCACGGCAGGAAGCCATGGAGAAGCCAAGCCACAAATCCACTCCTGGCTGAAAAACAACTAGTGTCTTTCTTCTTGAGCCAAGAAGCTTAATCAGAAACTATTCTAAAATATAAAAATAATTCCTCCTTTCAGTGATCTATCAGGCAGAAGTCCTCATTTTTCAGGACTTTTTAGGTTAATCAGACAGGATGCAGTTTGAATCATCTAATGAAAGGTACGTGCTCTCACTGCAATTTCCTCGTCCTTCACTGAGTGAGAGCATGAAAAAAAGGTTGGAATTATGGGAAGAGAAGATAACTGAGGGTCATAAAGAAGAAAAGGAGGGAATAGTTAACAGGGTCAAAGTATAAATGTCCAGATAAGCAAGAAGGTGGGGAAGGGAGCAAAAGAATAAAAAAGTCATCTTTTTACACTTCGGTTTTAGGGGGATCTAGCTGAGGTAGACTAACAGGTGCTTCAGGCCACACAGACTCCCTCTTGTCAACAAGGGGGAGTGACACACACACACAATTCTAGTCCTTGCACTTTTTTAAAGGAGCCCACATTTTGAAAGCTGCAGTGGGTGAGTGGGCTTTATTAGCACGGAGTGAGTTTTGCAAAGCACAAAATCCCAGTACTACAACCCACCTGTTATGTGCTGAATTGCGTCTCCCTAAAAATTCCTGTGTTGAAGTTCTAACCCCCAGTACCTCAGAATGTGACGTTATTTGGAGATAGGGTCATCACAGAGGTAAGGGAGCTTAAATGAGGTCACTGGAGCGGGCTCTAAACCAGTAAAACCGGTGTCCTTATAAGAGGAAATTTGCACAGAGATATGCAGAGGCAAGGATTTAGGAAGAAACATAGGGAGAAGAGGGTTGTCCACAGACCAAGGAAAGAGACCTGGGACAGAGCCTTCCTCCGAGCCCTCAGAAGGAACCAACACTGCTGGCACCTCTATTTTGGATTTCTAGCCTCCAGAACTGTGAGACAATAAATTTTTGTTGCTTAAGCCGCTCAGTTGTAGTACTTTGTTGCAGCAGCCCTAGCAGATGAATTCACCATCTGGATCAATGTAAGCTGGGGTCTGCAGCTGCAGCTCTGACCCTCTCCTGCCCAGGCTCTCATGTTCCTTCCCCATATCCCCACTCCATCATCAACTGAAAGACTGGAGGAATGAATATTCACCTCAATCAGAGTCCTGTTCCTGAGGGATTCGGAGAGATTTTACAAAAGAGGACACATTTAAGCTGACTTTTTCAACCCCCAAAACAACTATATGTTTCCCCTATTCTCTCTAATACTCACTTTATCAAAATACAGCTTTAGGGGACATGAACATAGGGCTCTAACCTTTACCCCACCCAAGGATTTCAGAAAAACACATCGATGTACCCCAAAATGGAAGAACTTAGAAGTAACGCTGCAGCAGCGCAACATAAATGAATGTGAATCCACTGTTTCATTTGCTGTGAATATATTTTTAAAAATCCGTTTCTGAGATGTCTGCATGTATATGCACAGAAAATATCGGGAAGGGTGCATTAAAAATAATTCTTCTTGGGAATCTGAGAGATCTAAGGAACTCATTTTTCATTTTACACCCTTTATGATTTGAAGTTTTTAACTTTCTCATTTAATATTTTTTCAATTATAACAATAATGAATATATCTATTATTCTTTCAATAATAAAAGGGATCATTTTAAATAAATAATGTCTAAGAAAAGGAAGTAGCACTTATGAAGTGCCTAGAATATGCCAAGCACTGTACTCTGCACTTTATGTATCTTTATCTCATTTATTCTGTAACAGGTATTTTCTGCCCATTGTATGAATGAGGAAATGAGACTTGGGCAGGTATCACACTAAACAGGAGCTCTCTGGTTAAGGAACTTTGAGTGACATTAGGTTACACAAAGGTAATACTTTTCTTCAACTCTAGGATTTCTTAGAGCCTTTATTTTTTAAAAAAGATTTTATTTATTTATTTCAGAGAGAGAGAGAGAGATTGAGCACAATCATGAGCGGGGGCCGGGAGGGAGAAGCAAACTCCCCGCTGAGCGGGAAGCCCAACGCAGGGCTAGATCCCAGGACCCTGGGACCATGACCCAGGCTGAAGGCAGACGCCCAACAGACTGAGCCACCCAGGCACCCCTCTTAGAGCTTTTAATATGTCACATACATTGTGAATTGTCAAGTTCCCAGTGTTGACCACAGAATCCTCTTCTCAAGAAGAATTTCTCAGAGATAGCAAACTTTCAGAATGTGCTTTGGAGACACTGCCCTGCATGATCATCTGCAGAAAGGTCTTACTTAGTTGAGCAGAGTGACTAAAGGAACTGATCACGGGGCCCATGTTTGCCATAGGGTGATGGAATTTTTCCCTTGTTGTATTTCAAACATTTTGAAGGGGCTGTAGTCTGGTGACTGAAAAAATTGACTTGGGTGGTTCTCAGACATTTTCTCCTCCACGCTCGATGGAAATGCTGGAATCCTGGGATGTTATAATGGCTGTAGCTTCTTAGTACTTTCATATTTTCATTTATATGCCAACTATCCAGCTAGGAACTCTAGAAATTTATGGAATAGAAGAAATTCCTAGGCACAGATATTTAGATGTTGACACTGATATTAGAGCATGAATTTCTGTTGGTTATAGACAACTATATAGACATCAGTTTTATACACACACACACACATATATATCCAGATCACAAAAAGGAACAGGAAAAGGAAAAAAACTAAACAGGGAATAATTCATTTATTCATTTTTTCTACTCAATGCAAACATTGTGCTAGGTGCTGAGGATGATAGAGTAAACAAGAGAGGCAAAGTCCCTGCCCTCACACAGCTTATACTCAGGGACACCTGAATTTGTACTGACAATGTCTCTAGTTTGCTTGGTGACCCTAGACAAGCCACATAAGCATCTGAAACTCCATTTTTTCATATTTTAAACAAGCTAGTTGAGGCCTTCCCTTCCTGAAAGTTTTCGTCCTAAAGTTATTAGTTGAAGAACAAGGCAGGTGTCCATAGTGGGAGTAGAGATGAGCAATAGACCAGAGCAGATGTCAGAGCCCATTGTATGAATGAGGAAAGGAGACTCGGGGAGGGCAAAGGGTGCTAGAGAGCCTGGCATGAGATGTCATGTTACAAGCAGAGTGACTAAGGCATTCATGTGACGGGGAGGGACAGCCTCACAACCAAGGGGCGAGGAAAGCCTTCAGGCAAGAGGCAGCCCAATTGTGGGAAATCAAAGCCAGAGCAGGGAGAGGAGTGCATTCCTTTAGAGACCAAGAAAGGTCACAGGGCATCCGCATGCGTGGGCTAGTTGGTGTGGGAATTCAGAGCCAGCGTTAAGTGAGGAGGGTGTCCACATGGAGTGGCAGCCTAGCATAAGGAGTCAGACCCCAAGCAAAGAAAGAAGAGTGTCCACGCCTAGGTAAGGTGGGGCTGAAGATCAGAGATTAGTTATATATAGGATGACCAGTCAAATAGGTAAACATGTAAGAATAAGGAGAGTCAAGTTCCTTACTCTAAGAGAAGGGAATTACAAATGTGGAAAGGAACAAAACTTGAATTCCACAAGAATTTCAAAACAGGTCGTGAGCAACATGGAGAAAGAAAAGCTACAGGAGGCTAATTCTGGAGGAAGCAATACCCTTTAAAGGAAATGGCTATCAGATAAATGCATGAATGCAGTTATGAACTTCTTATCCAAAAGAGGAAAACTGATGACTGCAATAAAGTCAAGTATTTCAAGGGAAGGAAGGGGTGTGATATTACTTCTTATTTCTAATATTTGAACTAAATAATTTCCAGTGTGACTTAAAAAAATAGAAACTTAGAGTGTTGGATTGGAAATGGATGTATGTATCAATACAAACTCATGGTTTTCTATATATGTTAATAAGAATATATATTTCAATATATATTTAATAAATACACTTTATATAAAAATAAACAGATGCAAAACTGTGAATATATACACAAATATATATGTGTGCATGTTTATGATATGTATCATACATTAACATACATATATTCTCTAGTTCTGGCCGTTCGTAGGCCCTGAAACAATGACATCCCATTAATCTTAAGCACACATATTGTACACCTGAAACAAATATAATACTGTGTGTTAACTGTAGTGGAATTAAAATTTTTAAAAACGGGGGAGGGGGGAAGAAGCTAGAATTCCTCCTTTAGAAAGAGAATGAAAGCTGCTGGTTTGGGCTCTTTTTCCTTCCTTTCCCATCAGTGGATAGAAGAAGCGATGATTCAGGTGTAGCTGGTACAGGCTCAGGGCTGATGCTCAAGTGTTTGGAACAGGGCTGTTGTGCAGTAGTCTTTGGATACAGGCCAGCTCCTGGAGCATACTGCACATGCATGAGCAGTCTGCTCTTTGGAATGAAGGTATCTCAATCAGCCAGGGGAGGGAGGCAAGCTAGCCAACCATTACGGTGCTTACCCCAGCAAGCCAAGCACCAAGCCCTCAGTGGCAGGACTGCAGTCTTTCCTTCGGTATAACAGAACCTGTTGGTTCTAGGTTAACACTAGAACCATCGTGAGAGCTCCCCACCTATCCCTGGGTTTTCTCTGTGTGAATGAGAGCACCATCTCCCCTTTCTGGGACTCTGGAAATAATTAGAAATACAGCAAGGGGATGGGAATGCCTACACTGAAGGCCAAAGTTTTTCACTCCACATGAGAATTGGATAAAACTGAGTATCAAGAAAACAGTCAAGGGGCACCTGAGTGGCTCAGTCGTTAAGCGGCTGCCTTCTGCTCGGGTCATGATCCCAGGGTCCTGGGATCGAGCCCCGCATCGGGCTCCCTGCTCAGCGGGAAGCCTGCTTCTCCCTCTCCCACTCTCCCTGCTTGTGTTCCCTCTCTCGCTGTCTCTCTGTCAAATAAATAAAATCTTAAAAAAAAAAAAAAGAAAACAGTCAACAAAACTAAAAGGCAACCTATGGAATGGGAGAAGATATTTGCAAATGACATAACAGATAAAGGTCTGGTATCCAGAATCTA